AGTCCATTCGGTTAAAAGCCTTGGACATATCCAACTTTATGGCAATGTGACCCTTCCCCTTCTTTTGAATTCTTAGCTTGTCTTGGCTACAAGTATATTATCTGAGATTTGTCTTTCTTTTAAAAACCCTGACTGAGTTGAAGAGATTTGTTCTTGCAAGATGGGCTGAAGCTTCTAAACCATCCATTTGGAAATGATTTTATAAAGTACATTGTAGAGGCTGATGGGTCTGTAACTGGAAGTGTCCACTAGGGAATTATTTCTGGGAATGAAAACCAAATTGGTTTTATTTATCTCTTGTGGAAGCTGTTCTGTGTGAAAGAAATCAATCACCATGTCAGAGATCTCAGTGCCCAAAATATTCCAGTACTGCTAACAGAAGTAAACTGTGAATCCGTCTGGACCTAGTGCTTTGTGCGGATTCATCTGCTTGATTACACTGTGAATCTCCTCAGGAGTTGGGGGTGACATTACGGATTCCACATGATATTGTTAATGCTCTGGGAACTTGATGTGCTGAAGTGAGTTCTGATTAAATGTTTCTGCTGTACCCCCGACTTGACAAATAGAGTTTGGAAAAGCATTTGATACCTCTACAGGATCCAAAGTCCATTGGCCATCTATCCCTTTAATCCAAACTTCACTGTTCTTCGCATTTTTTTGCTTTGTGACCCGGTGGAAAATTTTCTTGTTTCGGTCCCCTTCTTTTAACCAGAGTTCACGAGATATTCGGACCAATAATCGGAGACTCCCAAGCCTTCTCAATTATCTTCCTGCAATCAAGATGTTCGGACCAGAATGGCAAAAAGTGAAAGTTGGACTTGTATTTTTTGCTTGGTGGGACTTGTTCCACCTCAGTCTCTCTCCACTCTCCAGTAGTATTAAACGTCAGAAGCCTCCCTGAATTGAATATACTTTCTTTAATCTCTCGTAAGTTCTATTAAATCATTTCCCACATTTTTAATTTCTAGGAAAGACTTAAGCAAAAAATATAAGGGTAATTRTCCAAAATCCACCGTCACTTTTCACTTTTTATATGAATTCTCATTGGCCCAARTTGTTCACGTCAATTTAAATACAAGTTTCATGACCAAACTGCCCCTAAATAAATGGTAAATCAACTTGTTMAATATTTTTTTAACCAAAATGCCCTTAAGCGCCCAATCCTATTTCATATATAAGATTCCCGCTCACTGGATACTTCTTCCTTCTGCAAATGGTCTTGGATTGTCTTGTGGGAATGCTACTGATGCATA